ACACATGCACACATACACACATGCACATGCATACACACATACAAATACACACATATATGTATGTATATGCATACATATACATACATATACGTACATATACATATACATGCACATACACACATACATACATGCATACACGCTGGGTCTCGTACTTATGTACGTACGTACACATTTACATACACCTATACACCTACACAGACCTACGCCAAAAGAAATTAATGTACGTGCGCATACACATATACTTACACGTACGCATGTGCATACATATATGCCTGTATGGATACATTATACACACACATGCACGTACATACGCGCACACACACACACACACCACACACCGTGCATGCAGAAATCCACACATACGTGTGGACATACATACGTAGTTACATACGTACACGTGTGCAGGTGTACATGTGAAATGTACTTAAGGGTTTGTGGGTGTATAAATGTGTATACATATATCTGTATTGTGCACATATATGTGTGTATATGTTCTTCTGTTTGTCTATCAATCTATTTATCTATCTAGCGATGCATGCATGTGTAGGAATCAGATTGTGCTGCAACTAGGCGGGCTCATTGCAACCGATATGCCCAGAACGCCTGGTTGGCTGCTTCACATCACGAAGCACTGGCCGGTATCTACTCAATCTACTTGTAAGCACCAGGCGTGAGCTTCTAAATGGTTCTGTCGTCGTTGTTCGGGAGGCAGGTATGCACAAGCGACGGCCTCTGGGACCTGCAAGTCCAGAGCCAATGACTTCACCATAAAGCAGTTTGTATGAGTGTAGTTTGTGCATTGTGTGACAGAGCTCGCCGCAGCATCCGACACCCCGGGGGGTCCTTCTTGGCCTTCTGAGCACAGCTTGTCCGCGCCACAAAGCTGACAGCAGAGACAACGAGCCTGCGTACAGCCAAAAGTCCGGACGGCCGAGAGCATCCAAGAAGTCTCTTAAGAGAAGGCCTGTACCAGGGTGATCACCAACTCGGAACTGCCAAAGAGCGATGATGCCGAGTCCGCACTGTTAGACAGATGCCATCAGCGACACTCTCTGCACGTGCTGCCACCAGATGTTGCCGAACACCGACAACGTTTCCGGCCACCCTGACACTTGACGGGAAATCAGCACTCATCCTTTCGCCATCAGGAGCGGGTGGCAAGGCGTGGGGTCTGTGGAAAGCATGGCAAACACCGCCACGGAACTATGCGAACCTGAGCCGCTCTGCATAGATTTCACAAAACTTTAGCCCCGGTGACCAGGTCCATGAGGCCCATGCGCGATCTCGTTCGACTTGCCAAGGCTGGGATGTCACGTGCCATGGAAGGAGTTGCAGAGCAAAAGGCTATACTATACTATAGTAACTAGTACCAAGATTCCGGTACGATCATGCTGCATCTGCTTTTCTTTTGCGTTAAGCTGCCACCATCTTTGAGCTGGTTCTGTGTGGCGGAGTGTAGATACAATTCTGAAGGCAGGCGACCTCCGCCAAGTGAGTCTCTTGTTTGAATGGAAAGGGGCAGCCACGAGCAAAGTAATTAGAAGGAGGAGATGATCGTGCGGCTTGCATGCCGTCCAGCTACTTATACTCTGTGACTGTCGAGCGAATGCATTGAATGGCAAAGGAGAGATGCTGGCTCGTGCAAGTCCCCGGGAGGCGCTTGCGGGTGCAACACGTTGCAACTTATTGACTGCGGCTAGGTGTCGGAGATAGCAACAAGGATTGGGTCTCAGCTCACAGGCACTTGTTGCGCGTAGTTACGCGTTTTTGAAGTCTTTAGGTGGGCTCTGTCGGGCTTACTCTCCTACGCATCCCCTGTGCTCGTTTCAATTGAATAGAGAACTCGGGACAGAAATCAAACTTCCAATTGCTAGCCTTGTACCCTCGTCTCGGCAGGTGGCAACCCTCGGCACAGAAGCCTTGCACGCGGCATGTTCAGAGGGGCATCAGGACACGGAGCCCGAACGCGGGCGAGCAGCATGTCGCATGTATTGTTGTGCATGTGCAGTTGCGTGGTGACAACTGCGACAAACTTGTGCCAGCCAGCAGGCCAACAGAGAAGTGCGTGAATGCTCGAAACGCACTGGCTAGTGAAGGAGATTGTAAAGATGCTCTGTGCAGCCAAGACGAAGCTGAGCTTTGACTGCAATGAAGTGTTCGTGCGGGTTGACGAGAAGCTGCAGATCGTGAAATAATGTGCCAACTAGTTGTCTTGGATATCTGAGGAATGCCAAAGATCAGAACGGCTTGACTCCCCTGCATGTAGCAGCCTTTCGAGGTGATGATGCCGAGACTGGACTTAATTGATTAATGATTACTACGGTTGGCTAGAGTGTTGGTTGCTGCTGTTCTCGTGCGGTGTTTCTCAAGTCTTCTGTTTCCGACACTGGGACGTCGTTACGGCCGTTGCATGTCACGAGGTGTTCCCGCATGCTTGGTGCATTTTGCTTTCTCCCTAGGTTGTGCAGATCCTCTGCAAGGCGAAAGCAGATGTGCATGCAGTGGATGAAGAGGGCTGGACTCCACTTTATGCTTCTCCGCAGCACCAGGACGAGGAACCCGCCTCTCAAGCACACAAGTTTTTGGGGCTGACACCACTGCATCGCCCTCGTAAGTCGTGCAGAAATCTTCCGTGTCGGTCCACCTGAGGTCGTTGCATCATTCAGCGGTCAGGTAGACGTGGCACGAAGCCTTTTGCGTGCAAAGTCAGATGCCCTCAGCCTGCACTAAGCAATACGGAAGGGTTTCCACCAGACAGCGTATTCAGGGTCCGGTGCAATACGTGCATACCCAGCTAAGCCAGGTCAAGTTCAAGACCGCCAACGGCACGAGTGTGGCTGCAGCCGCACAGCAGAAAGGCCATCCGAAGCTCATAAGATGTCATGCGATTTACGTGTCCAGGCGGTGAGGGTGACAGTGAGAGTGCAATTTCGCCGGGAGCCTTCTGGAAGAGCGGGCTTGAGAGGCTTCCGCGATCTGCTGCAGCTCTTGAAGTCTGAGTCGAAAGCGTCATGATGCTCCTTGCGGCAACACGGCGCCATTTCGTTTATAGTCCTGCGCATGTTTGTGCTGCCAATGGCACACATTTTCCCCTGTGAATGGTGCATTTAACACACATCGGTGCCAGAATCCGACGAGGCGAGATGTTGCTTCGTCTCTCTGGGAAGTGACAGAGTAGACTCGGCGTTTTCCTTTCAAACCGCAGCCGTACGGTCCAGGCCTGGGAAGAGCGGGAACCTCGGAAGCCCAACTGGAGCCGGAGCGTTCAATCGCCGGCCCTCTCGTCTTAGATACCGACAGCACAAGATCAAATGCTTACGCTTTAACTTCAGCGACGGTGAAATCTGCTTTAGTCTACGCCTCATCACGACGCATCTTTGCGTCAGGTATTGCTCCGTGGTTAACATGGGAGAGCGGAAGTCGTTGGATGCGGGCCACATGTGCATTGTACATAGAACACGAGCTGTGCATGTGGCTCCATGTTCAAGCAATCGCGCGGAGGTCGAAAAGGCCGCTCGAGAGATTTCGGAGTTTGGGAAGTGGCTTCGGCTCACAAACTTCCTACGGCCGTCCTGGTTTGGTCGAACCGAAACGGTCGCTGGCAGAGGATAGCATGATCGGACCGAAGCAGTTCGTCAACAGACACGAGTAGCAGAGGAAGCCCGGCCATCGCCCCAGGTTCATGCACTGCTTTCGCCTGCAGTGGAGAGACTCCCAGGCTCAGAAGCTGCAGCCGTTGCTGTTGATATGCTTGCAAGTTGCAAGGCCTCTTCGGCCCAGGCTGTTTAAGATCTGCTGGACCGGATCTCGGGCGTGAGCCAGATATCACCAGATTTCCAGCTAGGCGCAGAGCCACGAGTACTTGGAGTCCTTGCCGAAAGACCTGCGCACCCAGCTGAGATGTTACGTTTTTGAAGAGTGGTTCCAAATGTTGCCGGTTAGGCCGCTCACCAGTCTGCTTTTCAAAACGGTACAAGTAGCATAAACAGATGTGACACTGCTAGGTTCATCGCTCTCGGTTTTAGACCCGTGCAGCCACGAGTCCGCTGAGGCTTCCATGTTTTTTTTTGCTTTCGCTCGTACATGGCGATCAGTTAAAGGGCCTTGCAAGTGCAGGCCGTCCGGCCCTGGGTCGAGGGCGACGCACCAAGGCACGCTGGGCTTCGAAGCTACTTGCTAGGACTGCTAGGGATGATATGGACTCGCCTCCTGGGCGTCGAGACGAAACCCAATAGCCTCAGCTCAGAGGCGAACTTTCGCGAACAGGGTCGTGCTGCAGCGCCGCCATTCATCACAGCCATGCTCAAACGAAGCCCCAGACAGGAACAACAGCGCGAGGGTGTTGCGTACTGGATTTTGAGTCATCTGCTCGTCGAAGCAACAGCCGACCCGTCTCAAACACTCTAGCACTGAGTCTCTAAGTTGAGGCTGGCCCAGGCGATCACTGCAGTGGAACCTGGAGAAGAAAATCACTGCTGCGTCCAGGCCGTGGGAGCGCGCGACAGGACTTCAAGATCTTCGCAGCGCCGGCGGTCGGGCGGATGGCGCGCGCTCGCAAGAAAAGTCTATAATGCTGCGAGCGCACAACAGAACAGCCCGCAGAAGAACGTTACATCTTTCCTTTCCCATGAACTGCCTGCCGATTCCTGTTACCGTGTTGCAACCATACATTTGCCGCTAAGGTATCGATCTAGCCAGAACGGAAGTGTGGTTGTTCTTGAAGCTGTCGGATTTGGTGCGTCATGGGCAACCCTCTACGCCTTGAACCGTGTGTGTGGGTGTGAGGCCTTTCCAGGATCATTGTTTGGCCAGCCTTGCCAAGCACTATAGGAACGAGCAAGTGTCTTGATCGTTCCAGCGCACAGGAGCCGACACAAGCAGTCAATAGCTTCAACTTTGTCGGAGTGCATCGCACTTCGTGCCTGGATGCCTCTATGCCGCACGCTCCAGGCTCAAGCCATCCAAACCCAGCTCGAGGGAGCGGGATCTGTAGGGCCGACATGCTTCAAAGGCGAAGCTTCTCCGAGTGCAAGTTTGAAAAGGCACTCTGTTCGAAGGAGAAATGGCTGGCCAAAGAGGAGGCACGGCATCGGGCGTTGTGGCTGCAGCAGATGCGCTACCAGGAAATGAGGGCAACGCATGAAAATAAGGAAACTGCTCGCAGGGACTGGCAAGAACTTTTCGCTGCGCAGAAATCGGCCGAGATTCAGATCCGCATGCAGACAATTCGCGGCCGCCGACAACAAGCCCAGGAGTTTATCAGAGCACAGACAGAAGAGCAAACGGCTTTAGCGGAGGCGAAAGCCAGAGCAGCTGAATCGAAGTCGGAATTCATAGCTCGACAGAGGGCCGACGAAGAAGCGCTGAATCAGGAAATCGCGAGCCATCGTGATGCTCGTATTGCTAAGAACATCTACAAGGCAAGCCTCCTGCAGACCGAGCAGGCGCAGAGGAGGCTTCTCCAGCAGGAGATGACTGCTCAACGACGAATGATGGTAGAGCAAGAGGCTGTCCGTGAGAGGGCCGCATCTGCCGAGCGCAGGAGGGCTCGTTCCGAGTACATGGATGCCCGTCTTCGTGCCCACTCCCAGCAGCTGGAAAGCAAGCGCCAGGAGAAGGAGGCGAGGCTCGCCCACAAGCGACAACAAGTCGAGGCACGACATCGACGCCATGAGGAGATCATGGAGCGAATGAGGGAGCTGGATGTGCAACACCATCAAACGAGCTCGCTGCTGAGAGACTTGACATGGCAGGCGGCCGTGACTAACAGTCAGGATCGTCTCTTGCGGGAGCTCACGGCTGTTCCAGGAGTGGCTTCCGCACCTGCGACGCCCAGGAGCCCTGGCCCTGGCGGATACGCTTCGTCAAGGGGCACGCCACGACCAGTCAGTGCAGATCGAGTCGGTCCTGCGACCCCCGAAAGCGCTGCCACGCTCTCACGGCCGGACATCTCGCCGCCAGGATCACAGTGTCAGAACGTGCCAGGGCAAGTCAATGCAGACTGGTCGGTTCCCGAGACGCCCAGCAGCCCTTGCGGATTCACCACACCTTCCCCGCGGGACATCTCATCACCAGCATCACAGTCCTCGCCCCGGCGACTCAATGCAGATCGGTTGATTCCCCGCGCATTTTGCCCCACTCTGCAGACTAAGCCGAATCTATGGTTGTTCACGGCCGGGCTGCAGCCTCCGCCGCTTCCAGCGCCACTGCCTTCGCCTCCTAGAGTCCCTCAGGTCAATGCTGGCTCGCTAGCCCGCATCCTCTGGTCCCCCCTGCCTGGGCCGACTGGGCCTGGGCACCAGCCGGTCGCCATAGGCTCCGTCAGTTCATCCTCCCTCAGCTCCTTCAGTGGCGGCGTGGATGGCTGCGCCGTCCTGCACGGAATTGTGAGTGGGTAGCGTTGGCCTAGAGACCACGGTGTCGGTGCTCGCTACTTATACTCACTGACGAAGTTTGACTGACAGCTGCTTTCCCAAGGAATGCAGTTTTCAGAACCGGACGGACAGATACTCATGTACTGTTATATGACTTGTCCAGCTACAGGCGAGAACCTGCTGGCATGTTATCATGCCGGTTGGACTTGCAGTCTTCGCCCGGGGGCTTCGACGGTGATTTCAGCGTGAGGAAAAACATCTCACGACATTGAACGGTTGGCGTTCCAATGGCGAGTCTTCAGTAATTTCATCTCGATTTTGCCGGCTAGGCCTGTTCTCCGCGATGATGCGTGTGTATCACATACATCTCCAGTATGAGCCCTGGCTACAGGTCCGCGAGAAGCACGCACTACTCGGCTAAAGCAGTAGAGCAAGTAGATTCACGAAGAGATTTGAAGGACACCAGCCTCACCAGCCATCGCGTCTGCATGCGTTGCGGGCATGGCTGACGCCGATGCCAGGCCCACGATGTGGGGTGCCTATCGACAGTTGAAGCGCACCAAACCTCGCAACACGGGTCAGCACAGGTCTTCTATGCGTAGTTGCTCGCTGGGCTCATGTCGGGTTTTTCTATGGGATTAGGGGCATAGGCTGCGTGATAACCCCAGTCTCGCTTTACCGGTGAACACCAGCGACTTTGATGAGTTCATGTTCGGTTGACGGAGACTGTCGCAGGGTGCAAGGCGGCCGGTGGCATCGCACACCTGCACTACTCCGTCTTGTCAGTGTCTGTTGGAGAGTTATGCCCACAGTGGGATGTTGTAGAGGGGTGTGTACTGAAAAGCTGAAGAGTCACACAGGGCGACATGATTTTCCGATCTGCTTCCCAGCATACTCGTGTAGTGTCATTCAGGCTGCCTGCGCAATTGGCGTGTTCGCAGGATTTGCCCGAAACCAAGCACCGGGATAGCAGCAGGGGGGCCTGTCATTCGTAGCAGCCAGCGGGCTTGCAACCAGTGTCGATATATCGCGGCCCAGATTCAGGATCTTTGCACATCAACCGCTGTTGCTAAGGCTTGTTGTTGACAGCTTCATGCCGCCCGCCTCAGTTTTGCCGGTTGTTGCTGCAGGAAGCTAGCTGCTCGACATATTCGTGACTCTGACCTGACAAGCTTCCGTGTTTGAAGTCACGTCGACTCCACTGTTGGAACTGCCTGCCCTCATCGAAATGCAAAACTTAAACCGCAGCCGATCGAATCGAAGTTAGCCGAGCAAGCTCCTGCAACGCAACCTCTGCTAAGACATGACAGGATAAACATCATGTCGCAAGCAAGCATGTTCGGCCGAATCCGGTGATGTCCTCTCAGGATTGGAGGCAACATGTGCCTGCTCTCGCAGTACGATGGCCTGCAACACTTTACAAGTACTCACCATTTTGCACATACAAGCTCAGTAGATTTCTAGGATGAGATGTTTCATCGGATGACCATGGCGCGCTCTGACCGCCACGTGCACTCCTCTCGGAGGTACAGGGTCCCTTTTGCTGAGAGTGGCAGCGTAGCTGCGTAACCTCTGAGTCCGCCGGCCATGTTCCCGACGAAGAGCTCGGCAACCGAATCGACCTGCATGGACAGCCAGGGGGCATGCACTAAAGCCAGACAGCATGGTGGGTTCTTGGCCTTATCAGTGCTGTCTGCGAAGCCAGGATAAGAGCGCTTTATCCCTCAGCATGTCCACTTCTTTCTCCCACAGCGAGGGCAGCTTGGCATCTTTGTCCGGTGCCCACAGCAAGATGGTATCCCCAGAAAACCCGAACCAAGGCGCTTCTGACAGGCAGATACCGAGCGAGGACGGCAGCAGAGCATAGCATAGCAGCGTACTCGTAACCTCTTCCTCTTCTTCTGGTCGTTTTTGTTTGCCCGCTTCGACAGGAGACGGTATGCGTCCCGCGACTCCCGCAGCCGCCTGAAGTTTGGGTCTGTTCACGGCCCCTTGTTCGAATTGGCCTCTTGGGTCTGGGAAGTTCGCGATTTTCTACACTTGGGTTGGCGACTTGGGATGTTCTGCATGCTGCACGCCTTCACAACCAAGCAGTTGCGTTGCCAAATGTCGCCTGCCAGGCCAGAGGAGCCGGTGACCATCCGACGAAGGATTTCAGGCAGAGTGGAATCGGGATAGGTTGCAGAGGCCGCCAGAATGCCAACCGAGAAGATACAAGTCTTTGTTATCGAGCCACCGAGTATCGGAAGGTGTTTCCAGGTTATCTAGAACCTAAACTTTAGCCAGCGAGGCTTCTGTTGAATTGCTTTGTCCAGGCAGGGTGGTCCACGATGAGATCGACTCCCACTCTGTGGCACCGAGCAGTGTGTCGGATGAGGCGCACTGCTCAGCGTGAGCAAGAGGCAGCTTGGGTGCAGAACGAATTTGCCAGGCTGGAGGCAAAGGCAGCCGCGAGCGAAGTGCTCGCAGCACGAAAGGCGGGATGGCACAAGGCACCTGCAGAGTCAGACTTATACAGCAGTGCTGCACGAGATGACGAAACGAACCAGCGTGCCGTTGCGCAGATTTCTTCCACGAACGAAGACTAATCTCCGAACCCGCGCCGGCTGGCCAGCTTCTCGTCACGGCACGAAGCAGAGGATCATGTCAGACCAGCAGGCCAAATTTCCAGATGAGGGTCTCCTGCTTGAGGATACCACGGCCTTCGCTGTCCCTCATCGAATCCGATCTGGAGCAGCTTTATGCGGCCGCACGGGCTCCCCACTCCTGGAATCATTCGTGTCTCAGCACGCAGCTGAGGACCCTAAGGCCCTAGGGGTTTTTGATACTGGTACCTTAGAAATTCCCCACGCTCCCCGTCAGGCTGTTTGAGCCGTCACTGGCGGCAGTGGCAATTTTCTTCCCATACAGCCTGGTCTTTCATGTCCTGTACATTCATGACATTTGCGGTCAGGGCCATTTTGCAACTGCGTGTAGCTTAGCATGTAATACATACAGTACTTCAAGCGATCAGACAAGTGCAATTTAGGTGCCAGCCAGGGCTGCATGACACTCGGCTGGAGGAGCAGATTGGTGTCGGACGCACTATGCTGTGAGTTGCATCATGTTGCATCTGTAGGAGCACTAAGCTCTGCAAGTTTTGCAGCATAAGTTTGCAATTGCACGGCGTTTGCATGTCACCAGGAACACTCCAATGCAAAGGTCTTAAGAAAAGGGTGAAGAGCTGGATTTTTGCTCCTTTGCATCGGTGCTGAGGACTTGCGCAATCTGGCCTGCCGAAGCGACCAAGGGCCTGCGTCTGTGTCAGCTTTGTGCCCTGTTTGCACACGCTGTTGTAGCCGGGAAGGCGCTCCAAAACGCCGCTGCGAGAGGGTGAGCTGCTTTCACAAAAGCCCGAAGCATATCTGTTGCATCGGCGGTTGCGGTGTACCAAACTGCAGAAACCCACTTCGGTTTGGGACCTTTCTTGCGATGCCTGTTCGCACCTTGAAAGATAACTTCTGCGTCAATAGCAACCGGGGTTTCTGCCTCTCTCCGCCGTCATGCATTGTCACAAACAGCCAACACATTGGCTTGTTTCTTTTTTTCTGTAAGCACGGTGTTTCCGACGCTTTGTTGCACTGCATGCTTTGATCTGGGATGCCGCGGGTGTTTGGAAACTGCACCTGGTCCCTTCTCTCAATGCAGCTTCCGCGGGTGGAGGGGAAGGCATGGGGACTCAGGGGCATCATGAAGTTCATGCTTGAAAAACGCTGACACCGATTGCGTGCGACTTGGACGAACTGCCTGCCAACGTGTGCTTCGAGACTTATATATGGTTATCTCCCATAATTTCATAGCTTCAGGCCTGAAGCACACGACTTGGGGTATTGGGCTTGGTGGATTTTCTAGGCTTGAGCGGGGGTGTCTCGGGTGTTTTTGTCTGGTTGGTCATTCAACGAACCCGCCCAGAACTCGCAAAAATCAACAGTGCATGTCAGTCTTGGCAATAGCACGGAAATAAATGCATGTCGGAAGAAAGCTGCGCAACCTACTTCAACCAGATCCGCGGCCAACAACAAATTGCAAACTCTGAACAACACAGCACAACCAACACACACACACACAAACAGACACAGAGACACAGACACAGAGACACAGACACAGAGACACAGACACACAGACACAGACACAGAGACACAGACACAGAGACACAGAAACACAGACACAGACACACACAGACACAGACACACAGGCACACAGACACATACACACAGACACACAGACACAGACACACAGACACTCAGACACACAGACACTCAGACACACAGACACACAGACACAGACACAGACACATAGACACAGACATAGAGACACAGACACAGAGACACAGACACAGAGACACAGAGACACAGAGACACAGACACAGAGACACAGACACAGAGACACAGACACAGAGACACAGAGACACAGACACAGAGACACAGACACAGAGACACAGACACCGAGACACAGACACAGAGACGCAGACACAGAGACACAGAGACATAGAGACACAGAGACACAGAGACACAGACACAGACACAGACACATAGACACAGACATAGAGACACAGACACAGAGACACAGACACACAGACACAGACACGCAGACACAGACACAGACACAGACACAGACACAGACACAGACACAGACTCAGACACAGACACAGACACACACACACACACACAGACACACACACAGACACACACAGAGAGACACACAAAGACACAAAGACACACAGACACAGACACACAGACACAGACACACAGACACTCAGACACACAGACACACAGACACAGACACAGAGACACAGACACAGAGACACAGACACAGAGACACAGACACAGAGACACAGACACAGAGACACAGACACAGAGACGCAGACACAGAGACACAGAGACACAGACACAGAGACACAGACACAGACACAGACACACAGACACACACACACAGAGACACAGACACAGAGACACAGACACACAGACACAGACACACAGACACAGACACAGACACAGACACATACACAGACACAGACACACACACACACAGACACACACACACACACACAGACACACACACACACACAGACACACACAGAGAGACACACACACAAAGACACAAAGACACAAAGACACGACAAAAGCAGCCACATAAAGCGACACGGCTTGTTGCAACACTTGTCCCGCATCCACCCAACAGTTCCGTAAACCAGCCACTTGCCCTGCTCTAGAAGCCCACAATCGGCGGCGTTTGGACCACTAACTCTTGCAAGACTTGTTGGCCCGTCCAAGCAAAGCGGAACAAGAACTGGGCTGGATGTGTAGTGACACTTTCACGAGTGTGTGTGCTCTCTTGCAGATGCGGCCACAGGCATCAGTGCCCGTACTGCCAGCGATTGCCCGAGATTCCGGCAGAGGCTACTGCGCCCAGGCGGGACGGGTTGGAACTATAGAGCTGACTTGGGATCTGCGGTCATGACAGGGGCCCCTGGATTCTACCTCCCGCGGTACTGGATGAGGCAGGCGGACGATCGTAGTGAGAAGAACCGCATCTTCAACTCATGGCATAAACGGAAGCCCAGGGTACCTGTCGACTGCAATCTGTCAGCTTATATTTGCTTATTCTTCAATGCTGTTGCCATACAATGCCGTGGCAGGACTCGCGTAGCTTCTCGTTCTCGGAAGCTGGGCAGGATCCACAGGGCTTCAGAAAGTTTTTTGAAGCTTTATTTTGTTCAGGTTTACATGGTTGGTAAGCAGGTAAGCGTAAATCATAGGTTGAGCACGTGCCTGAATGTTTTAAGAGTTATTTCCAGGAATATGCAACAGGCAAGCCGGGGCTCTCTTCTTTGCGTATACTTCCGCACACACAGTTTAACGCTTGATCTATCGGTAAGAAAATCACCATCTAGCATTCGCGCAGCCGCATGTGAAGACCAGCGTGTGGAATGAGTCACGATTAATGATTAATGGGCTCAGGGAGGTCGGTGTGACTTTCGTTACCCTGCTTTGTCACTCGGCTATGCAGGAGGCGAAATGGAGGTCGGTGCAGCCGCATGAAGGCGGGCAGAGAGAGAGAGAGATAGATAGATAGACCTCGGAACCGGTGCGCTTTCGAGCGCGGGCAGGGGTTGCACCCTGCTTTGTCCGATTGCAAGCAAGCAAGAGAGAGATAGAGAGACTCCGTCCTAGATACCTAGTTTGGGGGAACGCCTGTCTTGGTGACCTGCTTCTGTTGTGTTGCGGCTGTTGCTTCGAGCTTGAAGGCGGACATCACCAAATAGGGCGCAAACACCCCACTTCCCAAAACATGGTCTGTAGCTGAGCCTTCACGTGTTGTGTTGTGTTGAAGGGGGAGAGGGAAACCGTCTGGCGCAGGACTAAGGAATTAGCTAGCTTCAGAGAGCGCGGGGACGAGGCCTGAGGTTCATCTGAAGTTCATCTAGTGTTTAGGGAGGGCGGTTCCCTGCCCTTGTCGAGTTGGGAGAGCGTAAATGCCCAGTGCCCCAACGCAGGTAGCTGTCGCGACCTGTCCTGGCTGTGTGGAACAAGAGAGAGAGAGAGAGAGAGAGAGAGAGAGAGAGAGAGAGTGCTCCGGCCTCAAACCCCGAGCAAAGCAAAGAGAGAGAGAGAGAGAGGAGAGAGGGAGAGAGAGGCAGAGAGAAAGCCAATTGCATCCATACAATTGCCCTCTGGCCCGAGGCTCCATGCCTTGCACGGTGCGGACATCATCAGCATCGCACGGTAGGCGGGAGTGTTTGTGAAGATGTCTCGCCCGTTGCACGAAGACAGATCCTAGTCACGAAAGCTAGCTCTTTGGAGCTTGCGGGAGTTGTCGTTCACAAATTTCTTCCCAGGTAGTTCCATGGGTGCAACGAAGGCTCATGGCCTTAAAAGGCTTCTTTTCAAAATATTTCGGCGTTGGGGGGGGGGGGCCACCCCCCCTCCCTTGCTAACGCCCGCAGGCATCGATATGGGGGGGTCCCCCTTTCCGTGCCCCCCCCTTGAAGGCCATGCTTGCAAGCATAGCCGTTTGTAGAGTTTCGATCTGTTGTTACTCATAACCGTTTGTAGAGTTTAGAGTTGTTACCACTTATCACAAGCCTCCGCCGTCCTGCTTCCAGCTTTCGTAGCCCTGCTCTCAAGTAGATGAGAAGCCGCAAGAGGAGGAGAAGGAGGAGGAGAACAGCAGTAGTAGCAGCAGCAGGAGGAGTAGTCGCCGTTGGGTCGCCTGGTGGTAGTAGTAGTAGTAGTAGTAGTAGTAGCAGTAGTAGCAGTAGTAGCAGTAGTAGCAGTAGTAGCAGTAGTAGGAGGATCCGTCGACAATGCTATGAACACGGCCTCTGCTCGTTCCAATGACTTGAATCTTACACCACCCCGACACTCAGACTCAAGACACGGCACGGAATAAGTATTTTGAGTGCACCAGTCAATTGTTTCGGCCCGTGGACGGGTTGCAGGTTCAACGACAGGCAAGCGACGCACGATGCTGAGCGCCCACAACACCACACGTGTCTTGTCACAGCTGGAAGGATTTCAGAACAGGAGCACCCATTCTCAAACTCGTAGTTTGGAATTGGGAGCATCTGCGCCTCGCTTAGCCGCTCCGACAGATCGGTTCTTATGTGCCATGCTCTGCAGGGAAGCTAGAAGATCGCCGCACGAAATTGCTAAAGCCCCTGGCGCTAGGTGCGGTGTGCGACGGGCCGAGGAACAGTCCCAGGCATCGCCGGTTGGCCGCAGATGGCTCTTTGAAATGTTTGATAATTGAATGCTCGAAGAGGGAAGTGCAGCTGAGGTTCGGCTCTCGGCCAAGTTCCCAAAGATCAAGCAGAACAGGGAGACTTGAATGTAAAGACCATTGCAGACTGCATGCCTCAAGCTACGGCTCATTGGCGATAGCCTCGTCCGCTCCGCTTTCCCTCAGGCTTCGAGAGGATCTCGCAGAGAGCCAGGAGCTACGCGCCAGAGGCCGCCAGGCCATTCCCTGCCGCCGGAGCTTTCAATTGCCAGTCTGTGATGCACTACACCTTGTATCGGATGCCACTGAATGGGGTCGAAGCAAGAGACTGCGACCGCAGCGTTGCTGCAGAGTATGTCGGAAAGACGTACAGCAGCGCAGGCGCCAGTCCAGCGGCAGTCCGGGCCTTCGACGAGCAGGCAAGGTAAGTATGGTCCAGCGATAGAAGCGAGCGGCCTTGGGACTTGTCGGCGTCAGTGTAATGAGGGGCTACCGTCTTGCAGAGAAAGTCCAGGAGCGGTCCCGTAATTAATAATCTGTCATACTTAAGACCTTGTAGCCGCTAGCTTGAGTCGATTTGTCGTCGCAGTCCTACAGTCCTGCAGTGCACCGGTCATGGCTATTTGTTCCACTCAAATCGAAACCGGAGATTCGCGAACCGAAACCGAAGCGTGTCAGGTACGTTGAGTCGCGGCCGGTGGGCGCCGAGACAAACTCGACGGCTCTGAGAGCTGCGCGGGCAGACGAAGTGGAGTCAAATCTGAATCCATCTGAACAGGCGCGGCCTCTCAAACAGCCCAGCACATGTCTGCTAAGCTCGAAGCATCATCCTGGATGTTCTGTGCGAGCCGCAAAGAAGAGCTTACTGCAGGCTTCGTGGGACAGACACAGCCGCTTGCCGCCGCCACCGGAACGATGGCTCGAGGCGTCTTCTGTCTGCTCGGGGCGAAGAGTCTGGTGCACCAGTTCCTACTACGTGGGTGGTTCTGACTGGTTGCACCCCTGGGGCCCTTGAGCTAAAGGTGCTGCTCAAGCCTTTCTCGAGACGAGAAGGCTGTGCATGGCTGCACTGTCACGATCGACTTCAAAACTCAGCGAATCGGAACCGAAGGCAGGTGAGCCGCGTCATGAACGCCAGTTGACCACAAGACAGCTCTAGATTGAGCCAGCATGACCCGGCATACGAAAAGGTAGACTGTAACGGTGAATATCGTAAGGGTGATGAACGTTATCCGAGGGAATGCAGAAGGTCCGTGACGACGCAAACAAACGGAAGCTGTGACACTCGCGGCTATGCTTCTCACCACATTCTTCTGTAACAGCCCTGCAGCCTCCATAAGCATAACATTATGCCCCTATACGCCCCCAAACAGTAGTAGTAGAGCACCTGACCTTGACGACCATGACTGCCACGGCGACGACCAGGACAACAGCGACTACGACCACATTAGAGCCCCATAGAACATCACAGTGTGTACTTTCGGGAATATGGAAACGATCGAGGATAGCAGAGACGGAGACTTCCTCTGGCCCATCATGATCTTGCCCCGCGCATTCTGAACACTTCTGAACCTTGTGCTGTACTTTAGCTGCGGCTATGGAATTGTTTCGATAGTTATCGAAGCCTAGAAACCAAGTCTTTCTCACCATCTTTGAATTAGTCGCCGACTTGTCAACCTGCATGCCCTTGCGAAGTAGGAGGTGGAACATCGCTCTCCAGGCGCAGTCCTTTGCAGAACCCGGGCGCCAGCTCCGGCGTTTGGCAAAACGGAGAAAAGCCCTCGCCAAGGAGCTGCGAGCGCGACTGCCGCGCAAGAGCAATTTGTGGGTGGGCGGGCTTCAGGGATGTACATGCTTACAGGGAGGGTTGAAAACAGCTGCATGGCTTGCGATTCTTGCGTCCAGCTGCTAGCTGCTTCGGGCCCAACATGCCCGCTCATGTCCTTGAGCTAGCTGCTAGCTCAAGGACATGGGCGGGCATGTTGGGCCCGAAGCATGCCGAAGCCACTAAGCATTGGCAGAAAAAGGTCAGTCGCCGCATATTGCATGTAGAATCGTAGAATGTACAGGCCCGAAGCGGAGCCACTGCAAGCAGGTTCTCTTTCACTCTGTCATATGTGCTGTCTGTGTGTACACAGACATCGTATGTGACCGTCGTAATAATCGCCCATACAAATCCCAATATGTAAATACCAGTACGAACACTGATGACTCGAATGCCAGCAATTACAGCAATTACTACCATCATTGTTTCTATCATTGCTATTTCTGTTCTATGACACAACGCTATAACAAAAAATGTAGTATAATGTAACCTAATATGCTATAAGGTAGTTACATATATAAACATACATGCGCTGCATTCTGCCTCCGCCAGATGAAGCCCCGTTTACACATCTTGCATATCCGGTTGGTTTTTTCGTGTCAAGTCAACGCAAACAAGAACAATTTGAAACATTGCAGTGGTCGTGCTCCAAAATACATTAATCTGCGTCTACACTGTTCCGTCCTTTCACGAGGAGTGAGTAGCTCTTAATTCTTTTCATGCCTGATGCAGGGCAGCACAGCTCATCTGGCTTCATAGGTTAGTTGGGAGATTGACCGGCTCTTTTGTCATTCCGAAGCAAGAAGGCAGAAGCTCTTTCTTGTTTGATAGAGAGCCTTCCTTCATCCCTTTTCCCCAAAGCGTCTCGTTGATGCTTTGTAGACCCAATGAAGACCAAATGTCGAATGCAGGAATGCTACAACTTTCACCCTTTGACCTCATGAGCTTTGGACAGACGTGCGACGATCGGCCCTGTTTCGCAAACACGAAGCCGGAAAACACACCACGAGAAATAGTTAGAAACCTAGCAGAAACGTATCCGAAGCGATGCGAACTATGTAACGTAACTATGCCCCTGTCATCTCAGGCACCACATGGAGCAGCACTGTGGCCTTCTCTCTGAGGCGGAGCTACCGGCTAGACGAGTAATGGCAAGCTTACCCTGAGAAATGCATTGTGCTATCATGTCATGTGCTGTGCCATCCCCTCTTTTTTAAGCTGCATCTGGCTGGGGCATCAGTTGTGTCACAGCTATCCGTGAACGCTTACCTGCCAATGTGCCACAAGAAGACCTTCGATCAAAGGGTATTGTATTTTCATCAGTATAGCTTTATGTCCAACTGTGCTCATGTGGAGCACCCGCCGAACTCTCCAACCTGGTCAAGCGATGTTCAAGCCTTTTCTCGAGCTTCCTGTCTCCGTGTAGGACTACCGTCGGCTGGCCGGACTAGACACTGAGCCCCTTGCTGCACTATGGGGCGCAGTTTGCATCAGCCATCGGGTTTGCAGTGGTAGAAACATACATGTATGCATGCTGACTATCACTTGCCTGCAAGTATGCATCTATGCATCTACATCTACACGAGGCTTTTGCCTGGATACCGAGACTCTTGTCCTTCCAGGCTCCACACGGTTGTGGCGACACTCCAGAAAGCCTTTGCAACGGAGCACGAGGCAGGTTGCATGCCAACGTGCGCGCACGCACAGCACGGACGCCCACCCGCGCAAACTAAACGCTACGCTATACACACTCGAAAACTTCGATGCAATACAACGCAGCACGGCACTAGACTCACTAGACTAGCAAAGAACGAGGTGATAGAACTATGTGCACGATTCGAGGCAGTTGAGACAAATGCTGGATGTTTCATCCATGTGCAACTGTCATGTGTGCGGGCATCAAAAGCGCCCATCGTTTCAAAAAACAGCTCTAACATGTCGCATTGCGGAAGCAGCTCGGCACACTCGGAGAACAAATTCGGGTCTGCGGGCTTGATTATGCGCGGGCATGCAATCAAGGCTTGTGCGAACGGAATCCGTGCATGCTGCGCGGGAGCAGGGCGGAAAGACAACCATGCTCTGCAGCTCAATGCGAGCGAGTTTATGTCCGCCTGTGGGGGTCTGGGTGTACCTACGTGCTTACGATTGCCTACATATACATGTAAACTGCAGAGCCGGAGAGGAGCCTTTAAACATGGGAAAGCATGCATGCTCTCATTGATTCGTTCGGTCGCATGCACATGCCTCCTGTGCTTGTGTAATATCCAGGCCATGATGCTCAGTGTGAGTTCCCGCTCCTTGGCTTCTTTTTGAGGGATGCTAAGGAAGTCGACACGCAGCTTCTCGTGTCCGATGCTGAGGTGATAGCTGAGCATAACTTTGGCCGAAGCGGAAGCCTTGGTGCATACATTCGAATTCACGTGCATGGATGTGAACATCGCATCTGAAGATACCTGAAGTTTAAGAAGGCCTTCAAAGAAGGCTGCAGGCCTGCATGGGTTCTTCGCCAGTCGGACACGAACCTCGTGAACGGAGTGTTCATGTGAGAAGCTGCCAGAAGCCGGCAACAGCAGATTCCTTGCAAAAGGTCTTGACTGGCAGGGGTCCTCATTCTGTGTGCCAGACAGACAGGTCCGTTCGCGATGTCGACACACACTCGAAGAATCCTTTACCTCTTCTTAAAATGAAGTGTTGCATTCAAGCCGACATGCTTGTGCTGCGATAAACACATCTTGGTCGAAAAATCGTTTCCAGCAAACGGACAGCTCATTCAGCATCGACATTTTTAGATCAGTGGACCCACGTGCTATAATAGTAGGTTTGCATGGTTTAGCTCCGTCCCTGTTCCAGCACTGCCAACGGAGCGATGTGAAAATCCTGGAACAGAGGGCTCATTAGGCTTGCTAGGTGGCTTTAGGCTTATGAATCTGGCCACCGTCGGCTTTGATTGCATCTGGAGAAAAACCGAGTCGCTGGATATGCGCTGACTGGCCCAGCATCGGCCAGTCTGATTCAACACCCTCTGCATACGAGCCTTCTGGACTTTCACGTGCATCGTTTCGTGCGAGACCAGTGCAGTTTCGTGTGTAGCGTTCTCAAGGCATCGTTTCCGCTCTCGTCCACGTGCTTCGGCAACCTGCCGAAGGCTGGGACTAAATGCACGGTCGGTGATGTGCTGCCACACTTTACGTCATCCTCGAGAACATTTGCTATTTGCAGTGGCTCGCAAAACGGGTGTAGCCCGGGTATATCAGCATCTTTAGCAGCTCACAGGAGCAGGTCCCTTCAAACCATTGCGGTCGGATTGTAGTTGCTGATTCGCAGCAGGGGTCAGGGGCATGGAATGCGAGGCAGTCTGCATCAGCATAGGTTGGTTGCTGCATGTTGCTGCTTTGTTTTGGCAGTCGCCAAGCACCTGAGTACACCTAAGTGGAGTTGGGTACGCATACAATATCCACGGCAGCTCAGTTCGGGCAAACTGGAGACTCCCCTCGACATCCCACTCTTATGCCCCGACTCCAATGCGTTGTGGTAGCCTTCTGGTAGTTTTGTATGCAGATGAGAACATGTGAACGGCCTGGCAGTCGTGCTGGCGGGTGTGCTGACTCCCGAAGTCAAATCAGACAAGGCCGGGCGTCTGTTTGTTCACTCCATGGTCCTGCCGCAGCTTCATTGGGCATACTGCTATGCACCTCCGACAAACTTTTCCATGAGGGTTTCGGATGTCCATGATAGTTCCTCACCTACCCCGACGCTTCGCGGTTTACTCTTGTGTGACAGGTGTCTCGGCTAGTCCTGCCAGCCTCCTGTCGCAGCCTTGCACGCTTCGCAGCTGCGTCCCACGGCCCAATTCGGCAAAGAACTTGCGTTTCAAAGGCATCTTTCGGTCCTTTGCTCGCCGGTACTATCAGGCAGGCTCTGTTGCAGTCGTGCGTCTAAGGTTTCAATCGCTTAATTCGACGTGTCGCGGTGCACCGGATCCGCCGCCGGGCTGCAACCAATGCCTGGGCTCTTGTCCTGAAGTGGTTGTTGTATTGTGTGCTCTTGCAGACCGTCCAGCCGGCAGCGGATTCGGCGTGTGGCCGCAGTCATTACAGCAGCACAGCTCATTGATTTCATGTGTTTCGGGGCATGGGGCTCAGAGGAAACATGAGGCAACTCCGGGCCCTTGCAATGGGATCAGCGATCCTGGACATGTGGAACGGCCTGACCCGCCCGATCCACTCAGCAAGTGCTCCCAGGTTCACCCGCCCAAGTTTTATGCGCTGGTGGGAGGCTAAGCTCATGGCGTGGGCAGTGCAAACATTGAAGTTGGGCCTGGATCTCATGACGTGTTGATGCGGGAGCCGATACTCCGAACACTGGTCTCCGCAACGTATATACCTGGTACATTACAACTAGACCGTGTCTGTAATTCGTGAGCGTCCCGCTGATGCATGCCATTAACGTGGATCTTTGTGGGAGGGAAAGCCTAGTTCACGACTCGATGGTTTCATGTTTTTGAGTAGGAGGTGAGATCCAACGCCTTCATGATGTGGTTAGCCTCCGAGCCGCACTTCCCATGCCACAGAACAGGGCTTCTTGTTGTTGTTGTTGTTGTTGTTGTTGTTGTTGTTGTTGTTGTTGTTGTTGTTGTTGTTGTTGTTGTTGTTGTTGTTGTTGTTGTTGTTGTTGTTGATCTGCACATGACTGACACTCCGTCTGGTCACAATCCGAAGTTCGGAACCTGCTGTCTTTGGGTTTAGCTAAAACCGTCAGTAAGATGAGGACAGGATATGACAAGGCAAGCCAAGATTCCACATTGCCCTGCCATGAATAACCCTTTGATGGTTTCGGAAGATACTTGCGTAACAAGCCGAGTGCAACAACGGAAGAAGACGCTCTAGTTGATGATAGTGTTCGCGCCACAGCAGTTCCACAGATACCAATGGGGGAAGCAGAATAAAAGCGGTCACGTTCAGGCTATGTTCTTGAACGACTGGCAGCGCTGCCCAGCTGCGTTTGAAGCTCTTTCAGCTCCGCGGAGTGCAATTGTCACCGCTGTTTCCCTTGGCACGGTCTCGTGCTACCTGCATGTACTTACTGGGCATGGGCCGAGGTATATGTACCTCGGAGGCAATTCGGGAGCATTCAGCGGAAGTGTCCCCGAGAATGGCCGATGCTGGACCCTGCGGTCACCGTCAATTGTGCTCTCTTCACACTTCAGCCAGCTTCATGAAGGGCGCTTTGGCACAGCCTCGAGGTTGTATTTTCCAGCAGTGGTGCCGCTTTGCAGCACTGAGTAAACGAGCTGAGCAGCTGGGGCCTCCAGTGGAGGTCTCTGTTAACATCCCAATGAGTCATGGCAAAACCCTCCCGGAGTGAAACTCCAGGTAACTCAGAGTTCCTTCACTCACAGAACCCCCATGACTACAAGCCCGCAAGCTGGTAAGGACTTGGAGCTCTTCCGCGAGGCCATTAACTGCACAGCCCCTGGCATCCAGGAGAGATGTCGTGAAACTTGACGTTGCGCCATCGAGGTACCGGCACTTGTCTGAGGGTCGAGCCACAAGAATCATAGCATAGGTATTTGCAGAAGGGCATGCCGTGACCATTCGGAAGGTAGGGGCTTGGCTGACAACGGTTACACGGTTGGTTACGGTATATGTTCACGGGTGGTGCCACTCTCAAAAGCCCTTTATTGAAGCCACCCCCGAAGTTCAGGAGCTTTGGACGCCAGTGGTTGCGAGGGCCCCAAAGATGCTCGGTGAATGATTTCAATAGATACATGTATTCGTCAGGCAAAGGCAGAGCGGTCACTTGTGCAAAGATTTGCCTCGTCGCATGTGCACGCATTGGTGCGTAAAGTGCCGGCAGGGCCAGTTTTCGCACTTTGGGGCGCGCTGGATTTCGAGTGTTTGGGAGCTGTAAAAGTGCATGAAACGTCGGCAGGGCCGTGGTTTTCGCGTCTTGGCTTTTGGACTACAAAACGAGGTTTTTGGTCACCGAATCGCGAAAGTGTCGGCAGGGCCACAGTTTTTGGCCTCTCCGGGATCGGCGGTTCGTGTGTGATTTGAAGCTTTAAAGATCTGGTTGCGTGCTTGTAAGTTGTGAAAGTCGCGGAAATGCCGACAGTGATTTGCCGGTGAAGGCCCGAAGGCTCAAACATCGGCCATTGACCAGGCGAAGCAGACACACCACGGAGTGTCTCCTCTGTAAGCTCAATGAACTTTCGTGCGTTATGCAGGGTTCTCTTGCTCAAAACCATCGGAAACGTCGATACGTCCTTGATAGACAAGCAAGCAGGGCTGTAAATGTGTTGAAATACTATTACTGTAGCTTTGCATTCAGCTCTAATACGTTGTACGTCTCAGGTCGGGATGGCCTGCGGGCAAAGGTTATGGGCAACAAGTCACCGCTGCCCCGTGCTAAGCTGCTCTTGCCCAAACAGAAGGCCTTGCCGATGTTTGTGCTGATTATGCTTCGAGTAGCCTGTGCTGAGGCATACAAGAAGTTTTTTGGTCTGGCGGCTGTGATGGACCGTCGGGGAAGCGAAAAGTGTCGCTGCCGCACAGAGTGGGGCGACGAGTCAGGAGGGACAACGAAGCACGCAAAGCCACCAGATGCCACCAGACTCTTTAATTAGAGGTCATTGACTCCTGATTCCTCGGTCTCTCTAGTTCTCGGTCTAGATGGTCGCACGTGCCGCAACATCCCAGGTTCGGCCTGGTGCTGGATTCTGAGCTGTCAATCTTCGATTTTTATGCTCCAGCCCGGACGGGCAAGGCGACAGCTCACGACTGCTCTTCTTGTTACGAGAGAGACCCAAACGGAGACGAAGACGAAGACATAGAGATAAAGAACGATCGACAGACAGAAGGTCGGTAGGGAGGTACGCCGCCGGCTGTCACCATCAGAACAGGGCTATCTCTGAAAGGGCGGGGGGGGGGGAAAGCGGCAGTGCCGCCCGCTCCCTTGCCAAAGCAACTACATCTGCCGTAGCAGGTGCAGCAATAAGGGTAGACTGCTTCTCTCCCTGCACACACCAGCCCTGAGAGCAACAACGGGGAGATTGCATTCATTTTTTGTATCTTCTCCCTGATTTATAAGATCTATAGTTCCATTTCGCTGTCTGGAACAGACCTGCACCAAGCCTTTTCGGGTACAGCTGCTGGCGCTGCAACGTCCCGAGCAACAACTTGCTGAAGCCTCTCGAGGCATCCGAGTCTCCGACTAGGTTTGTACATGCTGCTTTCTTGCGATTCCTGCACGTACATGCACCTTTTCCCAAAGCGGGCCAATACATCCGGTACCAAGACGGTACCACAGCCCATGAACCCACCACAACGACCCCCGCCGCTAGTGAAGCAACCCACCCCAATACCAACCAATCAAATCTCAAGTGGCTCGGCCCCCAGTCAGACGCCCCTTGCAAGGGCCTCTAATTCAACGGACACCTCCCGCGAACAAGGCAGCTCTTGAGCAATCACCCGAAGGCAACGCCTTCCATCAATCGGCTTAATCTTGGCAGAGGAGCATGCTGCCTGCACACTGTGCTCATCTTTATCAATAACCACCCGAGTCGCAAGGAGGAGCAGGAGATTGAAACCCTCCTTGCCCATATGCCGGAACCCTGCGAACCAGCCCCCCCGGCTACCGGTGCCTTTTGAAACCTGCTCAAAAGTCAGGGAGCGAGGCAGCACTTCCTTCTAGCATGGGGCAGCCCTGGATAGTGCACCACCGTAGCTTACGCTCAGCAGAAAGAAAGAAAGATAGGAAAAAAGGAACAGAGCTCACGAGCGCTAGTTTGGGACTTGAGGCAAGTCGTGTGGTCCAAGTTTGGCACTTTACGTTCTGTCCCTGCATGTCAGTGTTGTCAGATCGTTACATTACTTCTTGTTCATCGGGCTATTTGCAGTGGAGGCTTCGGCATCTTTCTGAGTGTTTTCTTTGCAAAGCTTGAAGGGTTTGTTCGTGGCACTCTGCATCCAAGCCCTGCCCGGATGGATAGCATAGGCAAATGTTTAGTAATAACACCAGGAGTCACAAGAGGAGAGCGTGCTTAAGCAGAAAGGACTGCAGAATGGTGCTCGGAAGGTTACCTCTCTTCTGAATGCCTGAACGTTTCTTCAGCAGGGCGGACAAAACTCTGGTGGAGCCGGTGACACTTCGGGCGCGTGGTCCTTGTTTGAATGTTTAAGCGTCCTTCCATGTCCTTCGCAGTGTTGGTTTTTGAAACACTTGTTCTTGTAGAGCAAGGTTTTTTTTGTTCATGGGTTTTTCAGGGTAAGTGTTGAGCGGATTTTAGCGAGCGGAACAGGCCTGCCATCCCGGGGGCGCCTGGAGCCAACTTCTGCAGCGCTTGCACGCATGTGAGGAGGCAAAGATGGCCAGTTGTTACAGGAAAGCAGTTTGAGCAATGCAGGTTTTGTAAATAGGCTGGCCCCCGTTTAGCCGTCCTTTCCGGTGTTGACTGTCTTTGCTATGGTCCCTTTTTTTCCGAAACTCCCAAACGGAGCTGTGAACTCATCGTCCCGTTTTGAGAGCATTATCTGCAAAAGAGCATCGTGACATCGCTTCTGCCATGTGAAATCGTGGACCACTGAACAAAGTCGGCGCAAAAGACTTTAGGCAGTCGATCCTTAGTTGGGATCAAGTTGCGGAGCATGAGGTGAGGCAGACAGAGCTCCTGCTCGAAACCTGCCAAACTCTTGCACCACAGTACACCAGACGGGTACCTCGACCTCGGATTGCGTTTTGCACGACTTGTTTTTCTGATTTTGAACGCGGCAAACGTTATCGAGTCTGAAAGAGCGCCCGGAACGACATCGCATGCGTCAGGCAAAGACCTTCAACGCCGCCCGAGTGAGCCGCGCAGCTGCAGTGCATCGATGCTGTGTGGTCGACCACGGTGTCTGCATGATCTAGGTGATAAGTTGGTGGTCTACAACTTTACTTCGTATGTGCCTTGGCTGCACCATAATTCTTCAGATGGACCACACGAAAGCAGAAGCTTGCAGCAGTGGTTGGAAACTGGTCGCATCTTTCAGGTCGTGCGCAGCATGCAGAGTGTCATCGGAGCTCCGTGTCACATAGGACATTGGAGGGATGTGCACGCTCAGGTGATGAGCGGTGGCTCGGTTCAAGCATGAAGCGGGGTGTAGCGTTTGGATATCATGATTCTCGTGGCTGTGGGCCTATCATTGCTGCATGCGCTGTGCCGAGGAAAGCAATACGTGACTTGATTGGAATGAGTATGCTGCAGACATGTATGCGGTTTTGCACAAGCAGCCAAGTAATACAGAGTGCGTATGACATATGAAGCAGGCCAGGATTGGCAAACAGTGCAAGTAATGCAGTCGCCCGCACGACGTGCACATTGTCCTCCGCACATGAGCCGAACTGTGATTTGGTTCTTGCACTGTGCAGGATCAAGCTCTCTTGAAGGAGAATTTCGACTTTGTTCGGTCAGTGCTCAACTCAGCAGCCTCGTTGGAGATCCGGACTTGGGCCCGGCCCCTCCCCGGGCTTCCATAGGTTTCTGTGCTGCCGTGACCGGTGGGTGGAGCTGAGGGGAAAGTCTGTGGATCTGAGAAGTGTGCCCTGGCGCCTGCCTCGAGCGTGTGCCAGAGTCTCAGACGGATTAAGCTGAAGACATGAACCACCAAAGGTGCAGGAGATGATTTCAAAAAGCTTGTGGTCTTGGTGTTGGGCCCGGTCTGTAGAAGAGCCTGTGCACACACCTGCGCTGAATCAGTGCTGCAGGTGGACCGATATTCCGTGGACCAACCTGATAGTGGCCAAGCGTATGCTGGCATCAGCTGCAGGCCGGCAAACACTGTCAAACTCCAGGAAACCGAATGCTTCGTGCAGGTACAGATGTCAGGAAAGTTGCTGAGTGGCAGGGCCTTGTCCAGCAACTGCGTGTTCCTCGATTCGAACCTTGCTGGAATGTGTGGCTGGTTGACAGCATTCGTCCAGTGCGGGCTTGGTTGGTCGGCACAGTCAAACTGATGGTGCCTTCAAGGAACACGTGGCATACCAAATGTGGTGTGCCGCTGGGCAGAAATCGCTCGACTGTTCCACCTAGATTTTGGTTCAACCAGGAGCTCCTCTGCTGCTCCTCTCATGTAACTGGTCTTTGCCAAGACCAACACCAGGTTCTGCATGAAGGCTTTCACGTGCGGGATGTCACAGACGTGGCGAAAGAGGCTTGCGCACCTTCGTGCAGATAGATGTGTAGTATGTTGGTGAAAGCAGGTGTTCATGGCAAAGCAAGCCTGTCTGGCCAAGCGAAGTCCAGAGTCCAGAGCCAGTTTGTCCAACGGCACACGACAGGCACGCTGGGGCTCCTTCCTGGAGGACCCTCAGCCCGACTCGCGGTTTGCGGAATTGAAGCCACTTTGGGCCCCATGGCCTAGCGTGAATTTGCTTTAGCGCGTTTTTGCTTGTAGTGATGCTGACGCAGCTGCAGACTAAACGGCTTCAGCGTGGAGATGTGCCGTGAAATTCTTGCTGACAGCTACACCAGTGCTACACCTGCATGCCTTTGCACGACCGTGAACTTGAAGCATATTTTCGGGCTTCGGTAAGGAAAGCGCACTGCACTCCTTTCTTCTGCCACTTGAGGCTTCCACCGAAGCCGATCCTTGGCTTCAGATTCAAGACCGCACGGCACCGCGACAGATTCGAGGAGATGTGGGTTGGAAACGAGGTTGCTGCGGTGGAGACGTCCAAGGCGGCGCCTTTCTCCCAGGACCTGAAGCACAGGGGTGGCTTTTCCCTTCTGCAGGAGTCATTTAGAGCCTAAGGCACTTAAGGCTCCGGTAACTCCTTGTAATTAGGGACGCCGGTAGAAGACGCGCTGGGGATGTACATGGCAAAGCCATGTAAAGCCAACATGCTGCTCGACTTGCAAGGCGATTGTTTGAGGCGAGTGAAATGCAGAAGTGTTGTGGCAGTCTGGCAGGGTGTCCCAAGTGTTGCGATGCCAGTGCGCTTCTGTCCAGAACGGGCATAGGACAGGATGTCTTCTCTTGTAATCAGCCGTGGCAGGAGTCCACATTTCACTTTTGGAGATACCCCGCCCAGCCTGCACGGCATTGCCTTAGTAGCTGAGTGGATACACTTGACACTTTTTGGGATAGTACTACCCACGAAATAAACTAAGTGTACACTATTGGGGCTTATGAACTCAGCAACTAAGTTGCGCAGCACAGCCTGACACCTGAAGGAGAGCCCACCACTTCTCATTTTCCACGCAGATCATCTGCAGATGCGCTTTACTTTCTCCGGACGCCGTCACAAGTTCCTGCCTCTGGGCATGATAGCTTTGCACTGAAAGTCTGGGGTCATAAGTTTGTCTGACATGGGTTCTGGGTCGGCTGCATCTTCTCGCAGTTCATCATTCGTGCCCCATGCGGTCAATGGACGTGACTGCTCTCGGACCTCAGCATTGCTCCCTTGATCCATTCTGGTCACAAGGGATTGACCCACTGAAAGTTAAGATCATATGTAGATGTATGTAGGTAGTTAAGCTGCCAGTAGCGGCTAGCTGAGACGAGCCTCCGAAATGCAGACATGCTGGTGGAAGGTGGGAGTCATTGCTCCTAGACCTGCTTGAGAAGCACAATCGAACGGCTCTTTGGTGGCAGCATAGCTTCTCTGTAAGGTTGCCAGGATGGAGCGTGATGCATGCGGCACGATACGCTGTGGGCGAGCTGGCGGAGATCTGTGTGACTGAGGACTTCGACAACCACAGCATCAGGGGAGCACGCAGATTGACTGGACCCTGGTCCCAGCGGCACCAGAAAATCAACATCGGCAGTCGTGGTTTGCACTGGACTGGGCGGCAAGTTCACAGTTCAGTGGGGCGCCGGGGCTCATGACTCAAGAAACAACACCTCGAAGTGTGCCTGGGCTGTCGAAGCCGATGTAAATGCATGTGCATGTGTCGCTTGCGTTCCCGCCTTCCTGGCTCGAAGAACTGAAGCGTACGTGGCAGCGCCAGCGGCAGCCAGCAGCCTTGAGGCCACGTGAAATCCAGGTCTGAGTCGCAGGTCGTGAGGTGCTCCCAGTGCCGTCACAATACCACGTGGAAGCAAAGATTTTGTTGTCGGCAGTCTCTTCTGCGTCCGGACTCCGGACTTTCGACAGGACACGCCAGCCTGCAGATTCAGGCGGTGTCCAGGCAGGAGCCGTAAAGTCGTAACGCATGTTTATTTCGAGTCCAGTCCTGGGGGCGTCTTTCTGTGTCTAAGCAGGGCCTGGGTGCAGAGCGCTGGACGAAATGGCGGAAGGCTGGGTGCTCAACACTATGTCACAACGTCGGCCATGTCTTCCGTCGACGCCATGATACTGGCGGCGGGTCTGTAGCGGCAGCGAACGGATGACGGTCCTTTGAAACAGCTCGCTTGGTGATTGATGCTATCTGCAATTAACTTCTTCGTGCTCCATTAAGCAGGATAGGCTAAGTCAGGCCGGACGTCGAGGCATATTAAGCCTCCGTCCGGCTTGATCTGGCAAAGATCTCGATTCCAAAAGTTACGAGCTTCCCAGCAGCAACGACAACTTGTCGGGGACAATCGGGGACAAATGCGGCCAAGGACGTGTCATCGTTCTGACTTGTGCTGGTCTTTGAGCTGCAAGACTTTTAAGGGACCGGGGCTCCTGGTGATTTTTATGCCTCGACAGGCATCCACGCTCGGGGAGCTCATAAACGCTTCATCAAATCAAGCCTTACATGGGTATCTGCTGACAAGTTTGTCGGCGTCAGCAGCACGCACTCGTCCTTGTCTGTCTCCGTGCATGCATGCTGCATGGTGTGCTTGCACCTTCGCTCGACTGTGTGCTTGTGTGTTAAAAGATTCTCAGTAGAGGCCTCCTCACGTTTTGCTTGCGTGGAAGTACCATGAAGTACCCTCCTATATTCCGCCCGCGTGGGGCTCGAGCATGGTCGTGCGAGACTCGCGCAGTGAACTCTTTCCCCCCACCCATATTCCAGTTGGATGAGGAAACATTCAGTGTCAGTCATTGCGTTCATGTCGAAGTCACAGACTACAGGGCAAACTTTCCACTTGCACTGGCACCCGCACCAGCATCCGCAGGTAAATGCTGGGATGTCTTATCATTTCTATTCATGCAAAGCATATACCTCAGCGTTTGCAACAGATCCGGCTCTGTCGCCTATTTGCCGCGCCCTTCCCGGAACCAGCGTCTCCATGGCGAGTGGCCAGGTCTGATGTGTAATTCCCGACTGATGTGTATTCTTCCGAAACCACCACTTGCCGGCAATGATGTGTCTTGTATTCTTACGACTTACGAGTTGGTGCGAGATAATCCACCGCCAAGAAGATCATGTTGGTTTTGCTGAGCATTTTCGAGAAAGGATGCCGGAATGGATTGCAGATACCTGACTGAGCATTGATCTTAAGGTCCGTGCCTTTGATGTCATGCAGAACCTTTTATTAGATTGCCCGGCAATGGTTCTGTGAAAGTTTCGTGACTGCTCGGGGAAAGGAACCAGCAATTCCGCGAAAGTGTTCACGCAACAAACTTCGGGCATACAAGATTCATAGAGCGCATGAATTGCCAGAAAAAGATGTTCCTCCAGCAGTTCAATTCAATTCAATTCAGCCAATAACGCTGATAAATAACCCAAACACGACTGTAACAGCCGCTTGTTTTCCTCTCCAACAAGGTCTTGAAGGAGTCTTGTCCCTTGTCTCACCTGCGACGTGCCACGACTCGAGACTTCTGGTACTGCACGGGCCGGAAACCCACGTTTCAACCACAAAAACCACCACGGCCACCAACCCCCGTGGCATCACTTTCGGCAGTGGTGGCGGCAGCAGCAGCAATGCTGCTGTGCAACTACCACCACCGCCACCACCACCACACCATCGCCACCGGTAACACCACCGAACAGCTGAGAAGGGCTGCTGCAAAAACAGCTGCATCTCCGTTTCTGTTCTCGTCTGCTTTTGTGCCGCCGTCGTCGCCAACACGTTTTGGCTTGCAACTGAGGTCAGGCTGCGGAAGCTCCAAAGGCACACTTTTTCCATGCACAGACAGAATGTTGTCGATTAGAAAGGCTCTCGGTCTCGGGGTGCATTCGGTGCGCTGATAGTTCTCAGGACACCATCCATTTAATGTACAGTCCGATCAACTGGGAAGGTGGAGGCCGAGCAAGCGCCCGCAGAGGCCCAGCCTCAGGCCTTCGAAGCCCCGATTTCCTTTGCACCGGCCGATTGATTTGACGGCGCCATGCTTGCGCAGCGCCAGGACTCCAAGAAGACCTTTGGCCACGTGCCCAGGAAGAGGGAGGAGAGGAAGCGTAGTCATGACAAAAGTGTGTCAAAAATCAATGTCGCTTATATTCTTGGTGGAGGGTACTGTATTGCCAGCTTCAAGGTGGACCTCGGAAGCGCCTCATGTGGGGCCGCGTCTTCTTGGGGCAGGCTTCAGCAGATGCCGGTCAGTGCAAGCACAGATTTTGCCCTAGCGCTCCATTGCAGACGTAGCCGTAGGTGGGCTGTGGAGCAAGAACATCAGGCCTAGTCTTAATGTTAGGGAAGATTACGCTGCCAGTCCATGTGTGTGTGTGTGTGTGTGTTTTTGGCAGCGCTGTGATCTTGACAGGGCTTAAACCACGCTACAGTAGATTTAGTAGATGCTGGAGCTCGTGAATCCAACCCCGCACAGCTGCAGGTGGTCGATTGGAAGGCCGTTTTGCCACGGGAGAGTTCATGGAACCTTTGCCCGGTTCTCTGGAGCTAGCTACTAGCTGACTGTGAGATCGGTGTCGTAAACTAGATGTTGCCCATGCAGTGTGGTACACGAATAGGCATAGGGGTACTTACGTTAGGCCATGTTAGGCCGTTACCTAGTAGTCGTACAGAGAATTTGTCCGAGTCCCCGCGAGGAACGCCCGCCGAAATGTCATCGTTGTGGTGCGCTGAAGCAGAGTGCACTCGACTCATGTCCCATATTATTTACACAGGATCGGTTGCAGCCGCATCCCCAAAGACAAATCCGATGTAAAATCCAGTGCATGGCCTGCTTTTTTGCCTCGAAATCTTGAATCTCGCCAGTACTTGGAGGAAGCTGTCTGGCCGTGGTGCTGAATCCTGCCAGTGTTGGCCGTTCAATTTCTCATGCCATTGAGCTTTGCCCAGGTTCAGGAACATGAGGCATTCTGTTGTACCCGCATGCATGAGATTGCCACAGTGTCACCCATCAAATCTATCAATCTGTGCCAGAGTCGTGGATGGTGAAACTCACATATTTGATCACTTTGTCGCCTTTGCAGTCGTCAGTGCATCATCTGCGACGTAGGCGACAAACTGTGGGGGGAGCGTGCGCGAGGGGGGCGGGAAGGCGAAGGCCAAGGGCATGTCTCTCCAAAACAAAAAGACGGAGACCATGTTGACCGAAGTCCGATCGCGCCTGTGAAATCCTGCCAGTGGTGGAAAGCTGCGATGCTGCTATCCCAACAAATTTTCCCGAAGTAGTCTGATCTCCTACTGGTTTCCTGCCCGACTCTTCTTGTTTCCCGCTCTCCTGGTGGTCCCTTGGTCGTCTCCTGGCTCCCTACAAGTCTGTGGTCGTCGGCTCGTCACTTGCATGGCCTTGTCGTGCATGCGGGGTGTGCCGCAGGGGGCTCATGATGTGCTGCATGGTCCTGCACTGTTTGGGGATCTGCTTTCATTCTTCTTGACGGCTCTTTGCCCTGTCGAAAGAAAGCTCGCCTGAGCCCATCCTTTTGTCATCCCGCGGTTATCCGCTGTGATTCACCGCCTCATACTCTTACTCACGTACTTACGCTGGCGGTTCTGCCCTTGTCCCTTTCGTTTCCGTGCTGAACTGGGGCCACCGTGCCTGCAGAGTATCGGCACGACAGGCCTAGATTTCCTGTGCAAAGAAGCGTGGTTTCCGACTGTGCGTCGATAACAGTAGCAAGTTCAACCTCTGAAGCAGTATCCCGCGGATATGTTGCAGGGAAAGTATGGATGGATCCAACCGGCAGAGCCGATCCTCCACTTGAAGGCGGATGTTGCATCAGGGGGTGCAATAAGGAAGAAGTGTTGAACTCACGTTGCTTTTCTGAGTGCTTGTATGTGCTTGCGGAGGCCAACCTGCGACAAGGGAGGATCTTTGTCAGTGGCGTGCTCAACACATGTAATGCTAAACCACTGTAGTGTCAGAGGCACATTGCAATTCTCAATGGAACTCGGCTGAGGTAGAACCGACTTAGTCGGCTGCTCAGCCGAGGCCGTATTTCAGCTCCTCTGGTGGTATGTAGTGGTGCCAGGGTGGTGCTTGTCCGCTTGTGTTGGGTTTGGGTTACTCTGCTAAACTTGCTGACATATCGTTTGTTCACACTTGAAACTTGTGCTGGATACATGTGGATACCTGAGGAAAGTTGGGTTTAAACCTGCCGTTGGCTTCACTGTCTTGGGGCTCAATTTTCCGTTGCACCGAATACATTTACATACGTCGGCTAGCCCCAAAACCAAACGCTGATGTGGTCCGTCGTGCCTGCAACTGCAGGTATGCGCATCGTATGGAAGCTGCAGTGCACAACAGATGTCAAAGACGGACGTGGCCAAACCTGAGAGGTCAGGGAGTTTAGAGCTTGACCGCGTGAGTCTAGAGTCTAGGGTTAGTACCGCAACGATAGTTTACGACAGTTGTAAGCCTTGTGATGCTCTGAACGGCTGCTCATCGACGTCTGCATACGATTGCGGGATGCATTGTTCTGGCCTCTTCGGGGCATGCCCGGACATGGAATGGCGACAGCTGCGTCTGCACTCTTCTTGGACAAGCTTCTTGGCAAGAGATGCCTGAGAGATTGAGAGCTGGAGACAGATTGTTGATGGTGGTGCTGGTGCTGGTGGTGCTAGACTGGTGGGCTGGTGCTTCTTACTTGGCAAGAGATGCCTGAGAGATTGAGAGCTGGAGACAGATTGTTGGTGGTGGTGCTGGCGGTGGTGGTGCTGGAGGGGCTGGCGCTGGCGGTGGCGGGTGGCGGGTGGCGGTGGTGGTGGCGGCGGCGGTGGTGGTATTGTGTTACTTGTAGCTTTTTTGTTTTTTTCGTGGCGGGTTTGTGTAATGTTTAAATCCGTTTCGGGGGTTGCCCGAGCAGGCGACCTAAGCAAGCAAGCTCAGCAAGCATGCACACAGGCTAGCACACAGGCACGGCGAAGCTGCGAATGGCTGAAGTGAGAAAGGATCTTCATCAGAACCGGAGAGAGGTTCTGAAAGGATGAAGTAGTGAGGTGGTATTTTGTCGGCAGTAGCTGCAGCTGTCATTGAATCGCTAAGTGACCGCAACCTCACCAAAGCCCGAACCCAGACCCAGACGAAAACCCTGCCGCTTAAACTATGATGCCAGCTTCGATCCCTAAACAGTGCTCTTGCTACACAAGGTCTCCTCCATGCACAGGCTATTCTGTAAAATAATAGGATGTTGGTAGGAACAGCACACAAGGACAAATACGGAACTCATCTGGCCATCGGATAGGTTATACCGTTGTTGTGAGAGCATGGCATGCTCGGAAGGTCTGGCCTTGGCCGCTCCGTGGCGTTCACGTCCCACGACGCCCACGCCTTCGCCGCCTTCGCCTGCGCTCGGCCAACATCCTTCAAGCTGGATGAGATTGCCCAACACTCAGTCGGCACTCCGCACGTCATGCCTTGAAAGCACCGTCGCTGCATGTCGCTGCCCTTCTCAGCCCTACACACCGCCGGACACGAAGAAGCCAGCAGAGCCCCGTGACAAGCACGAGGCGGCGCCCGAGGCCTGCAGTAGCATGATCGACGACACCGGAGCTGTGCGTCCCAGCCCAAAGCATCCCAAAGCTTCGTGAGAGGATTATGTGGATCCGGACACATATCCAGAGAACCGTGGTCAGGACGGTCCGAAGCCTCTCGGATGTGACAGGCAGCAGGTTTCTGCAACTGCGCAGCAGGGAGTGGGTTCAAGCTGCAGCCCAGGCCTCACGGCTTCCTGGCTTAATTTACTTGTGACGGAACGCAAGCAGTCGGTTTTCGAATGCATGTGGATGATGAAGGGGCATTGCAGCACATGTTGAAGCAGCAGCGTCAGGCGGCAAGCCTTGCTAAAGTTTAGTCATAGTTGTGTGGTGTACCGGTATAAGATGTGCAGAGAAGAGAGCAGGTACCTTGGAAACTCAGGTGAACAGAAGTCATGCAAGAAGGGCATCGACTATGCCCAGACCTGTCCTATCGGCTGGAAGTACGTGGCCCGGCTGAGTTTGGCTCGACACCGGCAGCCAGAGAAGAGTCAGAGGAAGAGTGCTTTGCACTCGTCTGGAGTCTTAAAGGCTCAGCCGGTGCAGCCGCATCCTCTGTTCAAAGACTAGATGGCCTCGCAGGGTCCGGCCGGGCGTAAGCTCTTCGTTTGCCTCCCAGGCTCCCACTGGGCCTCAAGGGCCTGAGTGCCAAGCTCCAGGGAGTTTCTACACCGCCGCCTCGGCTGCATCTTAGCTCACGTTACCGTGCGTCCGCCTTGGGCTCGGTTTGCTCGCTTTCAGGAATCCGACTGGTGCCGGCAGCAGTTGACTTCACGCCAAGTCATCCCCGCTCGCCTCAGTGACGGGAAGGGCTCGATGCAGTTGCGATGTTTATAGGGATGCTAAGCTCTTGCTTTCGCTTTGCTTGTCAGCGTCTCTGGAGGAGTGGGAAAGGAAGGAGCTGTATGATTCCTGCTCCTTTGCTGAAAAGACAAGCTTGAGCTTGGTGAATATGCCTGTTGAGCTTCAACCATTGCTTGAGTGGTCTAGAGATGTCAAGGGGGATGTTCGTGCGGCGAGTGGAAGAGTTAAAGGAGTTGTCTGAGGCTGGATTCTTTGGCCTTGCCGCGACGTGAAGCACGACTACCGCAAGCCGTGTCCACTGGGTTGGACATGGGAGTGCCCCGGCCATGAAAATCTGACATGTTTCGAGTGGAACTGGACCTGGCCTGTGTATGCACGTGCACTGCGTGAGGGTAAGTCATGAAAGTTTCGCTTCGACACATGAAGGGGACACCACCTCGAGAAGCAAATTACAGATTATGTCAGTTTCGTTGCTGCCAGCTGTGCTCAAGGTATTGCTCAGCGCGACTAGCGTCGCGACAGTAGAAACGAGCCTAGATAAGCAGCGGGCTAGGCATTGATTGTCCATGCTAGGCCGCTAGGCCACGGGTGTTGTTAAGTATCCCTTCGTCGCCCATGTTGTCCTCCTTGGCAACTGTCTCGGTGGGCTTCGTGGTGCTGCACTTCTACAGGGCAAGGCCGGGTGCGACAGGGTCACAGGATCCCTGAAGTTCTGTTTGAGAAGGCCTTTGCCCTAGGAGAGCTCTGAAATAGACGCCTCACGTTGGCCCTGCCTGCGCAGTTCGTGCGAAACAATCGCAGAATCGCATGGTGCTTGGAGGCTGCTTTCCTGGCAAGACTGGGTCCCACACTTTATCAAGACGATCCAGAATTGGTCGGTCGCAGAAGCTAGCAACACAAGATCAGTTGACCCTCAAGTTTTCGCGTCCGTGTATCTTGGGCCGCATAGAAATAAAAGCATGCAGCCATGGCGCATAGTTTTGCTCCAGCTCCAGTGCTTCTCCTTTCCGCGTGGGATTTGATTCTTGAGGCTTTCCGGGTGGAAAGGCTGGATTCCGAAGCTTGCTCGTGAGAGCCCAGCTTTCTTCTGTAGCTCCAGATGCTTACACTGTTTCGTCGGGTTCATCGTAGCACGTGCAGGGATTGCCAGTTGATTGGAACGCTTTGTTCCAGAGGTGGCTTCTCCACGCAGGTTTCTGTGCTGAGAATAATGCATGAAATATTATCGACAACCGGTTGCGAGGCTTGTCACCGAAACTAGACAAAACTTCTTGTTGAAAGACAACTGGGACTGTACTAGTGAAGGACTACTATCACCCAAAATAGAAAAATCATACTACTTAAGAGGGAGACGAGCCCGAGCTCGCAGTATCGTTGACCTTTCTTGCCAGGAGTAACACTTTCAATGGTATGATCAGCACTACCGATGCCAGGCATTTGAGGCTGCATGCTGCGGTTTGTGTTCTTTCCTGATGACTGACCTGCTCAACTCCTCATACCAAAACAGCCCCGGCAAAACCTCTGAACAACTCCCTCGTCCCGACCATTCCGGGCCCAAATTCAATGATAATCGAACAGCTACGGGGTGCCTTGCCTAGGCACCAGAAGCGTGAAAAGCTTCTGAAGGAGACGGCCGGCGTGTCTCGGAAGTCTTAAGCATTGTCTTAAAGTTAGATCGCGCAAGTCCTTTGAGTGTCAAGCTCGGCTGACAACGTGTGGGTCGGCTGGTGCAAGGTCTGGTCGGTCATGATTGAAGCATTCTGGCTTCCATACTTCTGCGTCGCCACCTGGATCCGGCTTCAGGATTGTTTGCAGCACGGGTTTCAGCACACGTGCTAGAAGTCGGGCTCGACGGCTGCGGAAGAGGCTGCCTCTTTCCTTTGCACGGGAAAGGCACAAGCAGACGCTGCTGAGGTGAATTGTTACGCCTGGGGTGACCCGTCGCAACTGCCTTGCTTCCTCAGCACCGCGGCGAAGAGAACAGATCAGCACTGAAAGTCCGAGAGGTTCCGTGAAGCAGAGGGAATGTAATTGATACGGGAGTTTCTGAATTCTGAAGTTTCTGAAAATACAGCAACTACCCGTTCCTTACAAGCTTCCACAGGACATCCCGAGCTGAATTGAGGTGGCTTCGTAGTAGTGCCCGCTCTGCACAAGCTCGCCAAGCCGAGCGTCCAGCTCACGGCTGCCCCGAGGGACTTAGACATGCATGTCTTGATGCTTATAGAACTTGCAGGTGTCAGACACATCTTAGTATTGTGGTGCGGTAGTCTAGATTGCAAAAAGAAGGTTCGAAGATCGCAAGATCGGTGGGATCATTTTCAGCATGCAGCGCTGCAGCTTTTTGCAGCGCTACAGGCTTCAGTGATGCAGCAGTTCACCCTCAGCACGTACCTGGCGATACTTCTTTCGAGCGTGGGCTTTCCGAGAGAGCCTCGGTTGCATAAAGTTTGGAGACCGTGGCCAAGCAGCCAAGCATGCATACTTTTGCTACCAGTATCCCTTCAGTTCACAGTTCATCGCAGTTCATCGCCTCAGGAGCTGATGCCGATTCTCTATGTTGCGCGGATCATGCTCGGCAGCTTTGGCTCTGATGCTCAATTCTCCAACATGGTGAATATCCTGATCGCGCCTCTGTGCTTCGGCTATAAAAGGATTTTCGGTTGTGGTGTGATCGCTGGGCTCTTGTGCCGAAGGCTTGTGAACAGCATTCCAGGACATCTGAGTTGTGCGCACATGGACTTAACAGATCTTAAGTTCTTAAGAGATGAGCGCCCGCAAATCTCGGCAGGTGGGTGCTGTCGCACTGGATGCAAAAGGACCGATCGTTTTGCTTCCAGCAGCAACATGCCGACATGAAAAGCTCCCACTCGAGGCAGACGCTGAGACTGCTGATCTCTTTTACTTTGTCATCTCAGAGGTCATAACACTTGGCGTGACTGCATTGGCTATTGGGACCCTGAACGACAAAGAGTATGAGATTGCCGCGGCCAACATGCAATTGGAAGCCAAGGCCGCGGCGACGGAAAGATCATTTGGCAGAGGATGCAGTATGCAGCGAATGCCACTCTCCTCTGCTTGCAGGTCAGAGAGGTCAAAGAAGCGGAGCGCTCCGGCGCGGCTGCGCAGCGCCTGCTGTCAGTGACTTGCGATGCTTCCGCAAGGTTAACGGATGATCTCAGGACGGGATGCTTTCGTCTCTGACATGGCACTTCAACGATGTTGTCACGCACACTTCAGGATAGTTGGTCCCTCGCACAGCCTCTCCGATCTACTGATGTGCGGCTTTGGTGCATCCGGCAGCCAACCCAGCCTCGAAGGCCGCGTCCTCGTTAAACCGTTGAAAACATTCTGAAGCGACCTGTATGGGGCTTTCGGAAAATTAGGGGAACCTTATTTGGGGGTCCTTATATAATATGGATCCTACTATTTAGAGTACTATATGAGGGTCCTCCATTTTCGGAAACTCCCGTATTGCTCTCTGGAGCAGTCGGCATTGAGTTCCAGGCATCTTCGGGCTTGAAATTCACCCCCCAAACAGCCATCAGCCGCAGAGACCTTGTTCCGGGACCATCTGAGGCTAAGCGGTCCAGTATACAGTATGCACCAAACGCCGTTCTCCCTCGGGGTGCAGGGGGAAGGGTTCTTGAAGTTCGTAGGATCCTTAAAAGCTGCCCCTCAACTTTTCACGAGCTTTGCTTCGGCTCCTGGCAGGTGCCTCTTTCTGCCGCTATGTGGCTGCAGGCATGCCGCATTCAACAATCTAGCGCTTCAGCAATGCGTGGACTTCCCTTGATGCACAAGCTGAGCCAGAGGTGACCAGCAGCGGCTGCAGGATTTTGTCGCAGAGTCGTCCCAGGGCGACAAGCCGCCGAGGTTGCTTGTGCTTGGGTTTTGAGCTGCTATTCAGCGCCAACGTCGCACTGACTGAGTGGAGTCTATGTCTATATCATCACCAGACGCTCTCAGGTCGATGCACCTGCAGATGAAAGACTCCAGCGGAATTTCGTTCAATGCCGAGCTCTTTCATGTTGCTGTTCCATCTTGGAGGACGGCTTGCCACCTATGAGCTTCGAGAAATTAAGCAACGTCCTGAACAAGTGAAACACCGCGCGGCGCAGGTCGGATCAGGCGAAAGAGCACCTGATCGGAATAAGTCAGGTGCGAATGGCGCGATGATTTGCAGAACCTACCTACCTTGGTGCGTGAGTACCAAAACTCCTTAGCACAGGAGATTGCAGAGCGGACTGGGCCCACCGAGCTAGTGCAACCTGGCGCAGTGGAACAATATGCCAGAGTACCGCAATCAAAGGGCATTAAAGGCAGATTCAGAAACTTCCCGTTGACCTAGTGGCATGCCCAGCTGGCAAGGGACCGCTTCGATCGCACAGTGCGAACTCATGTTCCGGCGCAATCATCGGACATGCGCCACATGTTGGGCTTTCTGGCTGCAAGCAGCATCGAGGGTCACTGCAGCGTGCTATTGGCAGGGAGCGCGGATGTGCGAGTAGTGTGACATGCTCCGTCCCTGCATTCCTCGCAAGGTGCTCGCGTGAAGCAGCTTGGCTTTCCGGCGCCATGTGCAGAGCCAGAGCTGGGCGAGAGACCGTTGCCGCAGGTCGGACAACCACAAGTCCCCTGCCGAGAATTTTTCAAGCAGCAGCAGGACACGGGGACACGGGGCGATGGTGTGCTCCAGAGATGTGGAGCGTGTTGGCGCAGGAGCAACGGAAGCGGTGGCAGCTCACGCAGCAGTAGGACTCAGAATTTGATCCGGCTCAGTGTCCTCGAGAGCCTTGGATTTTAACTGCCATGTACACCCTCCGTGGCATGCGATGTTTGCTCCACTTCCGTGTCTTTGTGAGGAAGGTAAACTTCGTCATCGATGTCCAGACTTTGCATGATGACTTTGTCTTGCGCTCTGTCAAGCTCTCTTTCAAAGAGTCGGAGAACGGCTCTAAGCGGCTTGGATCGGAATGGCTGGCTGTAGGATGCTGGACGTGTCCAGACACGGAGCACAGTCACAGACAGGTCAGCCATGCCCAACCTGCTCGAATGGGTGCGGCCGAACTACAGGCAATTGACTCCGTACTTGCCTGATTTATAGAACAGCTAGCTGACAGATGCTGTCAGTTCAGAGCCGCCAGCTCATTTGCCCGAGCCTTCATTTGCTGCTACACACTTGGACGACCTATGGAAACACGACCGAGGGTGGTCCAGGTCATACTTGCATTGTGCTGCACAGTGGTCCGTTGCCTGGTCCTGGTCAGGGACAAGGTGTACAACTGGGTTCAAGCTCATGCGAACGCCTTCTACACTGGCCGCGAATGTCTGGAGACGCCGAGGGCCTGACGTTGATTTTGCAAAAGCAGTGTACCGCGATTTGCAGACTGTTATGATTGTCGAGGGCAAGGTTGGGTTTTAGCCTGTCTGTTAAAGGCGAGCACGACTGCTGGAATCTGCCAGAACCACATAAAACGAGATTTAAGCAGTTCACGCTCCCCCCCCGAAAGCTAGCTTCTGAAAAAGCAGGAGCAGGACCAGAAGTAGGAGCAGCAGTAGCTGTAGCAGACTAGCTCTAGCTGTCGCAGTAGTAGCAGCAGCAACAGTAACACAGAAAGAGATGAACCATCCTCAGAGTCTGCCGCAGGAGTCTTCTTTGCGCGGTGTGAAATTGCACTCGCCGTTGGGTTCAGCAAAAACTATTCTCGCCGGAGACCCTCGGTGCACAAAGAGCAGACAGTCACAGGGCGGGGCAGTAGGGCACCAAACTCCTGTCTATGCAGAGGTCAAAATGTAAGCGTTGTGTCAGTTCCCGACTCCAGGAAGTGATAGCTGCGGAAATGACCGATACCCTGGACGGTGACGGGACAAATATGCCATTGGATGAGCAGGCGGAAGACGACGAGAGCGAAGATGGCGGCTCGCCCCAAATCCTAGTTCCCAGGTGGCGTAGTCTCAGGCCTTCGTCGGCTTGGACCTGGATGTTTCCTGTTGTTTGCGTTCCCCAAGGTGAAATGTACATGAACATCGAGTTGCGTCACCTTTTCGCGCACTAGGGACTAAGCTTGCGCTGACCGAGCGGTCCAAGCTCTTCCTCCACTCCAAAGACCAAAGATCGCTGGGCAGGCTTCTGCCTCGGTTTCTTTCTCAAGCCGATGTAGCGGTTGGAAAGAAACCGGTGGTTCAACACACCGATTCCAAAGTAATAGGTGCATCTGCTTTTTGGTGCAGCCACAGAGCAGCAGAGCCAGTTTCGCGTTTCACAACGAGGTTTTAAAAGAAATCCTCGAGGCAGCGACGTGCGAGCGATGCGTTTGGCATTGAACAAATCCGGACTTCGGACCTGCGCTTTTGGCCTTTTGTCATACGCAGCAGGTTAACACGAGCACGTGGTACACCGAGCATTTTCGCGGGGTTGTGGTCTTCAGGCAAGACGGAACATGTTCAGCTCCGTATTTCTACCGCGGCACGTGCCCGTGGAATGTGAACCTCCTCAACTACACCCGTGGGATGAAAGCCGATCGGCTGCATTGCTCT